GGCGGCTCCCGCCGGCGGCGGGGCGGCGGCGGCCGGGATGCACCGAGCAGCCAGCGCCGCCCCGCCGCCCGGCCCCATGGGGCCGCTGCCCCCCCGCCCCGCCGCCACCCCTGCCGGATGGCCCCGCTCCGCTGCCCCGGCGGCCCCGCTCCGCGACTCAGCGCGCACCGCGCTCGGGGCTCCGCGCCTCGCCACTGGCGCCGCGCTCTCTTCCCGGGATCCCTGTCCCGCGCTCTGGAGACTCCACTGGGGTGCCCGCCCCGCGGCTCCGCGCGTCCCCCTGCCCGAGGTCTTCGCCCCGCGGCTCCCTCCTGGGGTCCCCTTGCTCGGGGTCCCTTTTCCCGCGGACCCCGGTTTGGGTACCCGCCTCGCGTCCTCTCGCTTGCGCTCCCCGATCCGCGGCTCAGCGCGCTCCTCTCCTCCTCGGGCTCTCCGCTCCGCGGCTCAGCGGGTCCCCTGCCCGGGGCACACGCTCCGCGCCTGCTCCTCCTGGGGCCGCTCTGCGCCCCCGCGGCTCCCGGTGTGTCCCACCCGGACTGGCGGCTCCGCCCGGGCTCCCGGCGCGGCGGAGCGACGCCCCCACCTTGCTGCCCGCCCGGTGCCCGGTGCCCGCTCCCCGCGCCGGCCCGCCCGCCCCCGCCGCCCCGTGAGCATGCTCTGCAGCCGGGGACGCCCCGTCGGGCCGGCACCACCGAGGCTGGCGGGGGACGGGGCGGGAGGGAACGGGGCGGCGGGAGCGGCCGCCCTGCGCGCTCCTTCCCTCCCTCCGAAACCGAGTCACCCTCTCAGTTCTTTGGTGCTGTCACCAACTCTGCGCGGCGTTTTTGCGCAGCTGGAGGGAAGAGCGCGGTCCCGCCGCGGGCAGCGGGGAAATGCCCCTTCAGCAGCTCCGCGGGAAGCGGGGCTGTCGAGGATGGGTACGGACACAGCTCGGTCTGAAAGGTGCGGTGGGGTGAGCGGGACAGGCTGAGTGTCTTCCACGAGGATAGAAAACGAAGCCTGCATCGGTACTTGTTCCAAAGGGTTCTGCCGGACGACTGAGATGTATTACAGGCAGCAAGCCTGGCAACCGAAAATCCTGTTCTCTCTTTCCGGCTCGTTTATGGGATGAATCATTCCTCTCGGTAGGGTTCTAGCACAGCTAGAAACGGACTCTGACCGTGAGCATTACGGGCGTGAATGCTGTGCTCTCAGACTTGCCATGTGCTAACGTGCCTGAGTTTCTTCACAGAACATGCTTTAGTGATTTTTATTCAAATTATTATGGATTAAAAAAATTAAACTTAATTCCTTTTTAAAACCGTTGACAGTGACCAAACCCGTTCTTGATTCAACAGCCTGTTTTGGCACTGAAAGGGCTGAGGAAGCCACACTTTCCAGGGGTGTTCCAGCTACTTCTCCAGGCAGATGGGGAAGTACAAGACTCACTATACCTGAATCTGCAGTGACATGAAAGAAGATTAAGTGCTAGAGTTACTAAATACAGAGGGAAAAGAAAAAAATAAATAAAACTCTGTAACCTTTTAGGTAATTTTCTAAAATTGTCACAAGAAAAACTGGAGCTTCACTTTAGCTCTCGCTTAAGAAATTGGCACTACTCTTCCACGTTTAAGCAGAGATATATTTAATATTGGAGGGAGAATTTAGCTTTTGTCACCACTGAATTCTAAACAGCATGACTAAAGCTGTGATGCTGAGGCAGTGTGTTGCTTGCACAAACTCTGCTTTCCTAAGCAATGCCTCCTACAATTTCTCTAAACGAAGGACCAGATTGCACAAGTACTTGTGCACGTGCTTGTTGAAGCTGCTAGTCCAGAAATGGAGATATTTGTTGTAAAAAAATAGTTATCTGGTTTGCTTGTTTAGGTTATATTCATTGCTTCTCCAGTGTAGAGGTGTGTGCACATACTTGTAATATGGTGTCTATATGCATGTATGTATTTACGTGCATGCAGTCAGTACACATTAGTAATTTAAATAAACATATGTGTAGGTATCTGTCTTCTTAATAACAATAGTAGCTCATTAATAATATAGCCTGCCCAAAACTCAGCAGCACACGTTGGTGGCTTCGTACAAATCAGCACCAGTGTTACAAGGAAAGACTCTGGGCTGTGGCTGGGAGCGGCAGAGGTGCAGTTGTATGTTCATCTCCAGCTCTGCCTCATGTAGTAAAGTCAGGCAGAGAGGCAGTGCAAGCAGCCAGGAAGACACCTTAACCCATTGAAACAAAAATTGTAAAAGCTCACTTGTCAGATTTCTAAAGAATGAAAATTTGCACTGCTTTTTACAGTACTTTTTGCAATAGGTGGACCCAAAATAGAGGACTTTCCAAAGTATCCCGTTTATTGGCCAAGTGTTGCATTTGGCTGTCTGGCTCCTGAATAGCTCAGAATTCAGAGGATATAATATATCCTCTAAAATATCCTCTCCCACCTATTTAATATTTAGCAGATATTCTCAATTTTCAGCTAGTGTGAACTGATGTTACTCACCAAAGATCCCTATGGAAGAAGACCTATCATTGAGCTGGGAGCAGATTCATCAGCCAAAGACACACCTGTGCCAGTGGGTGCACTGGTGATACAGTCTCCAATGTTGATCCAACATTTCATGCATGCATGTTCAAAACTTTATTTCAAGGGAAAGAAATGCATTAGGAGATCAGGAATTTTTTCAATGGTGGCAGAAAAAGATACTGGTTTGTGATGAGGTGGCATATGAGACTAAAACCTCCTTTCCTGCAGACTCCAGTGAGTTGTGAAGAAGTGGAGAAGGAGCAGGCAACAGAACAACTGCTTTGCACTTGTACCAGATCATTCATAATGGCATCAGGTCAGAGAAGCAATCGTGTAATGGGTATGTTTATGGTGTTCATAACATTCCATCCACTGCCATCAACATTTTTTGAGCCCAAGATAAAAACCTTTAACATTTATAGGTTATTAGCATCCTTTTTTAACTTTCTGTAGGCAGTTTGCATATAAATCTCATTTTAAGAATAGTCCATTAAACCCACAGCTGTCACTTGCTGAGAGATTTGGGTGGGTTTTTTTCATCCTGAAATCATCTTTGTAATGGCTTTTGTGCTTTTCCTTCAGAGCTTTGTCTCATTTTTATTTTTTTTATTCACCTGTTAAAATTGCATTTTTCTCTCACAGCTGGCAGATTGGAAGTAATGGAGTTTAACTGCTACTGCAATGGTTCTGAGTGAAAAAAAATCTTTGCAGTTCCTGATTTTAGAAATGTATGCTTTACTAGCTCTTTTCCTTCATTGCCACATTTTCTATTTTGATTTCAAAATACACAGACCCACTGTTCTGCCTAATAATTTTTATTTAAAAATAGCCAACACTCAGAAATTCACACATTCTCTCAAGAATCAAGTATCAAGAGATACTTGATGTAAAGAGGTAAAAAATAATTAATTCCAAAAGCAAGTTAAAATAAAGAGACACAGATGTACACTGAGGTTTAGGCTATAAAAGCATCCCATTAAAAAGCTCCCATTACAGTTAGGCTCTGAAACAGAAAAGAAGAGGTAGTGGTAGAGGTGGAGGAGGCTGGAAGTCACTGCACATCAGGCCAATTTAATGAAGTCACTGCACATGTTCTTAACTGTAGAAGTATGCTCAAGTGGAGCTATATTTAAGAGCACGGTTGAATGTTTGCTTAAGGTCCATCAGTCTTAGTGAAGCTGAAGGCTTTATTGCACAGGGTGGACAAAGGTGCAGGTGTATTTATAGTCATGAAAATATTGAGGAAGGAGGGAGATAACTCGTATCACCTATGTATGCAGCACAGAAAAATCTTTGCAGACTAGCTCAGGTTCTGCTGTTCGTGTTTCAAACAAAAATAAATATGAGCAATTGGAAAATTATCATAAGTGCATTGCAGGAATTGTGTCTGGGAAACTTCTTCAATTGAGCAGAGGGCAATGGGAGGGTTAGAACCAGCTGATGATGTCTTACAGGGGGAAAAGTTTTCTGTAACAGATTGCTTTTAATATTGCAAATAAGGTTAGAAAAACCGCAGTGGCTAGAAACTGAATTTTTGAGAAATCATGGTAGACAGAAGGCAAACATTTTTAACAGTGAGGATGAATAATGGCTGATGTGATAGATTTTGGATTGTAATAGATTTGCCATCATTTGCAGTCTGAGAGCCAAGGCTGAAAGCATTTCTCAGGGACTGTGCCTCAGCTCATCCTTCAGCTCTGTCTTAACTTGGACAGTACCAAGCAGCGCTCTGTAGTCCTTGGGAAAAGTAATTTTAGCTGGCTACAGTTACCCCTGCTAGCCTTAAATCCTATTTAGTTTTTTGTTGACTTGGGACTGTGATGGATAGTATTAATTAACCATATATAACAGGATGAACAATTCTTCCACTATTTCCGTTACTTTTTCTCAATAATGAGTGTGATATGGTTCCTGCATAGCCATTGATCACTCAGAAATAATTGATGTTACCAGAAGATATTTCCACAGATTTTCCTTTTCTTTTTGTTGTTTTTTAAGGGTTGTATAGGACCAGCAGTAGATTTTGTAGTTCAGGATTTATTTGGGGGAAGAATTCCCGTTTCAAATTTTTTAACTCTAGTGGTAAGCATGAGTGACTTTGTCATTTTAAGATAAACAGCAATAAATCACTACTTTTACTTAGTTCTGCTCTTTTTTTTCCCCTTAAGTAATACTTAAAATTACATGCTCCTTTATCATAAACATGTCCCATTCATCTCTGTAGCAGAATATCAGTAATAGAGATTAGAAAGTTCTTTATTAAATACCTACTGCAATAATCCTGAGGACTATTAGTGCTGTCAGAGAACACAGTGGAACAGCTGATGAAGACTTCAATCTGCTGACACAAGAGTTGTACTGGAGTTGATAAATTAAAACTAAGGAATATTCTACTGACCATCTGTAAGATAGAAATAGCTATTTCTTCTGAATTGTGAGTAGCCCTCTGCATGCCAAGCAGTGGCATTTCATCCTACAATGTCTCTAGATTTGTCATCCTTTTCTTTCTCCAAGGAGGGTCAAAGAAGAAATATGCACTTTTTCAAGTGCAGAGAATGTCAAGCACACCCTGTAATGCCTTTATGACCTCCCATTCTTCTGGCTGACACTGCAAATCAAAGGAGGGAACATACAGGTTGAAAAGCATATGCTTCAATAAATCAAGGCCAATACCCCAAATTCAGCACAAAGTCATAGCCACAGTGTATGGCTGTGCACCCTTAAAAGAAAATCCATCTTTGAAAAGCAAGGAGCTAGGACCTTGACAGTGTCATATGGGGCAGGCAGAGGACCTGATCAGTCCTGGCAAATCAGTCAGTCTGGAGCTCATTTGAGGAATGGTGCAGCTTTTGAACCCCTCTCAGGGAAGGCTTCTGTTCAAAGTCACAGTGAGACATAAGCAATAGCCATGATACTTACGGGAAGTCAGAAGTTTGTCCCAGTAATCCTTGCAATGATAAGCCAGTAACTCTACCTGGTGATATTTTCTGCGTATTACTTTGGCTGAGTTGGTCAAACAGAAGACTTATATATATTAACTTTCAAGATACTTTAAAAGACTGTTTTTGCCCTGGAAACTCAATAGAGAGAACAGTACAGTCTTCATGAAACATAAAATGTGTATTGGTTGGGACAAAAAGAGTTGCCGTAGGGAGCAGCAGGTTCCCAAATGTCAGAGCAGAAAACAGGACAGAAACTATCAATTGAAATATTGTCTAGCTGCTTTCATCAAAGAAGATATTGTATATTGAATTATCTGATACTTGCGATTTGTTTGTTGCACATGGGTTGTACTGATTTTGCTAATTACTTGCAATAGTTACAACTAGTCTGGGTCTGAATTGTAATTTTAGAATAATTTTGAAAGACTTAGTGGTTGCTGTTGTGGCCTTAATAGTTAAAAATAGTTAATGCAATTCCTTTTAGTACTGTTGACTGAGATGTGTGGCCTGAAGAGGGACGGGCTATTTTATTTTAGCTGTAGCTCTATCCAAACATAAAAGATAGTAATGAGAACTATAACTGCACAGAAGTTTAACATTCATTTCTGCTTTGACAGAATATGAGGGTGTTTAATTTATTGTTTATGCCCCATTCATTTCTGTTGTCACAGTGCCAGGTCTCCACTGAGCAGTGTGCAGAGTGGCTTGCCCCTGCCAGGGCTTCCCTGCACTTGATGCAGTGTTGGTGCCACACCTACGCATAGAGCTGATATCAAGTGCAGGCACAGGCAGCTCTTCTTGATATAGTGAAGTTTGGGTTCTTGACTCTTACTGCAAAATAGACAACAAAATAGACAACAAAAAAAAATAGAAGAAAGAAATTCTGATGCTTGGAAAAGGACTCAAGAATGCTTTCAAAAGTCTGTTTGGCTAGTGTAACAAATTATTGCTTGGTCATGAAGCTGTTAGATTCAAGCAGGCAGTGGTGGAAAACCCTACCTGAGAAGCACTGCAGACATGTTCCTCATACCTGGTAGAGGAGCAGACAGGAGGGACAAGGAAGGGGGTTTATGTAACCAGCTACCATTAAGACATTGTTACAAAGCTATTGCTTTTTGCCTCATTGCTGTTGGTTGCTGCCTTCATGCAAAAGTCATTGCCTGCTAGAAGGGAAATTACTAAATTCAGAAAATGATGGACTCAAGTCTGAAACAAACATGAATGTAGATTTAGCCTTAGGTATGTTATTAATCATTTCTGCACACTTTAAAAAGCATTCTGATTTCAGTTTAGCCTGGAAAATATTTGATTGCAGAGTAAGTTAAAGAAATTATGATATCCTTAATAATCCTGACTAAATGGTGTCATCATTTAGCCCAACAACTCACTACTCCCCACTGGTGGGACAGAGGAGAGAATCGTAATAGTAAAAGTGAGAAAACTCATGAGTTGAGATAAAGACAGTTTAACAGGTAATGCAAAAATTGTGTTCACAAGCAAAGCAAAACAGGGAATTCATTCACCACTTCCCAAGAGCAGGTAGGTGTTCAGCCATCCCCAGGAAAGCAGGGCTCCATCACATGTAACATTGACTTGAGAAGACAAATGCCATCACTCTGAATGTCATCCCCACCACTTCCTTCTTCCTCCCTCAGCTTTATATTTTGAGCATGAAGCAACATGGTCTGGAATATCCCTTGGCTCATTTGGGATATGCTGTCCTGGCTGTGTCCCCTCACAACTCCCTGTGCACCCACAGCCTTCTCGCTGGTGGGGTGGGGTGAGGAGCAGAAAAAGCTTTGGCTCTGTGTAAGGGCTGCTCAGCAATAACTGAAACATGCCCGAGTTATCAACAGTGTTTCCATATCCTGTGAAGAAAATTAACTCTATCCCAAACAAAACCAGCACATGTGGAGAGGAGCTGTTCCTCTCTCTGCTTTGGATAAAATGCTGATGTGGTTCCCTGGGACTAATGATTCTATGTGTGGTTTTCACAAGCTGGCTTTTAATTCCAGGTATATTGCAGTGACATTTAAGCAAAGATTTATTAGAAAATAAACATAAAACACCCACTGCTTTGTTAGAAGTGAAGCAGAGAGACAACAGCTGGTTTTCCTGCAATCCCTGCTCTTTAAGAGCTTTCCACCTACTGCATCCATCTTTATTTGTACTTCAGCATGAATTGTGGTCCCTTTGCTTCTGGCAAGAACTAGAAAATGTGTTGGTAAAGATTTTCAGTTCTCTTTTAGGTGAAAAACAGCAGTAGAGAATGGCAGGAGGCGTGCCATAGAGAACCGTGTTTTACTTTAAATCTCAGCCAAATTAATATTATGGGACATAACACACCTTCTAAAAAAAAAAAATAAAAAAAAGGACTATTGACATTAAAATGAGACTTCCCATTATCATCAACTTCAAGATCAAATTAATGCTTTAAAGCTAATAGAGCTCACCCTCTTTTTTAAAGTCCTCCTTAACAATTGCAGCTGCTTCAATTCTGTTAAATCCAAATCTCATTTTATTCATGCATGCATAGAATGAGGTCAAATACTTGGGAACAAGAGTTCCCAGGGAATAAGTGATCCAATGAGCCATCTGTACATACATCATGTCTAATCAGACAGAGTGAGGTAGGAAAATTAAAAAATTAGTTTTTGTAGTAAAATCTTGGTGTTTGGGTATCTTTTTTATTTCATGGATTTTCGGTGAAATTTACTGAATTATATAAGCCAATGAAAAGAAGCATGCACTTAAATTACTTGGATAATTTCCCTCTCTGCTATTCTCTGAAGCCATCTGCTTCTCTGCACTGATATAGTACTCTCAAAGTCTATGGAACACAAGTGGGCAATAAGACACAAAAATATTTCCGAAATTATTGAAACAGTAATTGGAAATTATTTTTTGAAGTGATTAAAAGAGGAAATTCAAAGTATTGAGAAATACTAGTAAAAGAAATTCACTTTTAGAGAGCCTCAACCATGACTCCTCCACTTCGTTCCATCTTAGAGTTTGTGTCACTGACAATAAAAAATACCTGGAAAATCTATAGTCATGCAAGATTGACTCTTCAAGTAAATTGAGGATTATAGAGATCTTTTTGCACCTTACCAGCCTTTATTCCTGTATATATATATGAGTTTAAATGCAACCCACCTTGTATTATTGAATAGATAAAATTATCAAGGGAAGAGAAGGAAGGAGTGGAAGACTCTGAGAGAAGGATATGATGAACATCAGAGAATAATTTCTGGTTAAGATTCCACAGCAAAAATTCAGAATCCTTTGCATGTTATGTGCATTTTGGAGTTCAATAAAGAATTTTCCTTTAAAAAAAAATATCTCTTTTTAAGTAATATTAAATTGGAGCACCTCAGGAGAATAGCAATGAGCAGCTGTTAGACCTCTCTTCTGAGTAAGCCTGCTCTTCTGCCTCCTGTCACGTGCTTCAGCGGATAGGTAGGCAGAAATAGGGGAGCTTTGTGCTATTTCTTGTCTTTTCAAGCCTGTATTGTTGATACACTAGAGAAAAACAAAAAATTTGGAAAACATTTGTTTGAGAAAGCCTAGGTTTAGCATTGACCAGAGAGCTGGAGGTCACACTATGATAAACAATCTGAGTATTGTTCCTTGTCCAAAAATATATGTTTCTTAAATATGTATGTTTCTCCAAAATGTATGTTTCTCAAATATTCAGAAATTCATGACTCACCATTTGCTTCAAGAGTGGTTACACTAAGAGCTGCATCACATAAATACTCTGTGTTTGGATGAAACAATATTTTTTGACAGTATTCCTGTTGTGAAAACCTCTTACGCGTCTTCAGTCAAAATCAAGTCTTTGGTCCTGAAACAGGACCATTTTAGTCAGTGGGGTTTCATCAGTGCAGCTCGGAATAGAATTTGCCCATTAGCATGTTTAAAAGATTTGCTCTCTGGCAGAGTGCTACCTTAATTCACTTTTCTGAATAAACTTCAATTTCAGCACTCAAAATCAATTTAATATTGTGGGCAAATGAAATTATTTCCATCATAATGTGAAGAAGCTGAAAGAGCTAAGTAATTGCAGATGAAATATAACTAAATAAGGATGTTATTTATTTTTGAAACTTCCAAATGTGTGCAACGTGTTTGTAATAGAGCATATGGCCCCTTCTTGGCCTTGGGGATTTAAAGCTAGTTCTGCTTTGGCTGGAAATCAGCTAAAGAACACCAGTTCTAGCTGAAAAATGACATGGGACCCATCCTACAGGAGCAGAGGAAGAAGAAACAGGCTTGCTTTAGCCATCTTTATGAGCACATAAAAGATTAAGTAGAATTTTTGGGCCTACCCAGTGAAATGGATTTTTTTTCTGATACCGGAATTAGCTGGAGACTTTGTCCAGGAGTTGATTTGGAAGGAAGATTAAAGCTTTATTTGATTATCTTGATGGTCCTATTTACTCTACTCAAAACAGAATCAGTCTGGGAGACAACTGAGTGGTTAGAGCTGATATTTGCATGGAAGTAGGTGAGATCAAGCTACTGTGTTCAATGGGAAAGACAGAAAATGTTACTGTCTAGAATGAATGTAAGAACTAATAGAGATGTTATAAAAGAGCATGACAAGCAGCCATAGGGACAGGCAGGGATTACAGTGGTGTGATTAGATCTTTTAAAAACCGCTTAAAATCAAACAACTGAAATTCCTTTGCAGGGAGATATGAGTTCTCATGCTCAGTCTCCTGATGCTTCATATAATTCAGACTTCACCTGAGACTTCAGACAGAAGTTGCTGTACTTGATCTGGGTTTTTGCAACAGGTAAAGAAGGTAGCAAAAGTTCCTAAGCAAGTTATGTCTGTGCATACCACATAACAGAACTAAAGATTATGATGTGAAGCAATTCCTGGAAGCAATCGAATGGTCTGTGTTTGCCATCTAGTGGTACAAAGCCAGCATTTTTGTTCTGATGCATGAGAGCAGACATGACAGCTGAAATCTTGCTCAGAAGCAGACCTCTCCCACACAGAAATATGCCTGCTCCCAGGCAGATGGCGGTGACCACTGTATAGTTGTCTTTTCAGGAACCAGGAGCAGAAATTTTTCAGCCCTTGATCCATCAGATTCAGGACTAGATTATTTGTCACTCCCTTTTACTATTCTGGTTATTGTTCCAGTCTTTTGATTTTACAGGTGTAAATTCTAAGAATATTCAGGCACCCAACTTTTCACTGCTTTCTGTGAGAATTCAATGAACTAAATATCACAGGGATTTGAAATTATTTTCTAACATCTTGTAAACCATGCTTATAAACCCCTCACCCAAAGGCCCTCCAGATTTTTAGTGTCGTGTTTGAAGATATGTGGTTATCTTCCAACCAGGAGACTGATCTACAAAGAAATTAGCAACTCATAAAAAAATTGTACAGGGAATATACACCGTTCTGGCACTGAACACATATACCTGAACATAAGCTTTAAGACTAGTTTTATGTCTTTCAAGAATATTTGAATAAAGAATTAAGTAAAAAGATTAAGTTTATTTGTCAGTTATGCCATATAGTAAATACAATTAATAGAAATATGTTTTATCAGAAAAAGTTATATACAGCATGATACCAAATCATACATGTTACTTACCTGGATTTCTTGCTATGTAGTTAAGGAAATAATAATATATTGATTTTTATCAGTGTTCAGGAAGTCTAAACTAATTCCCACATCCCAATTACATAGTAAATGTTTTTGGATTTTACTATTAAAAAAACCCTAGGAATTAAGAATTGGAGTTCTTCTAGTATCTCTGTGATTCAGGAGCATCATTCAGCTCAGCTCTTCCTGGGATTTTCCCTCCTAAACCATACAGAACTTTTTGTAAACCCCTTTTACAAGTCACAATGAATGAAAACAAAGCTATACAAATCATACAGAGGACAAATCCCAGATGACTAAAACAAAGATTAATGAGATCGAATTAACTTTATTATGTAGTGTTAATCATATTAACACTAATATGATTCTGAAAAGTGTACCTATACAATAACACCACATATATAACAAAATATGCGGAAGAAAAATAAAAACAATTACATGCTATTAGCTATGGTCCCTTCTTTTAAAAAAAATATTGAATCTTCTATTTATTGAGCAGCTGCTACATTCTTTCATTCATTCATCCACTCCTTCAACTGTTATTTATTTAATTAATTATTCAATCAATTGTTCACTGAGGGACCGTGTATGATCTATGTTTTACAATTGACCTCAAAGAGCGAGGCAGCTGAATGCATCCGATAGAAAATGGAAAAAGGCATCGCAAGGTTCACAACAATTATCCAGGGTTCAAAGCCAAAAACTATTTCTTCTAGTCCATTGTCATATTCCGGGCGGCACCCGAATGCTGGGGGTATCCACAGCTGCAGGGAAAGAACGCAAGGCCAATATTAATCACCAGCAATACAAGTCAATAGCCCTTAATGACTGTGACTCCACCGTACTGCAAATTGGTTTCAGAAATCCCTAAGAAAACACTCCCTGTTGCTACCGGAGCACACTGGTGGAAGAGGGTTCCAGCTTCCACTGCTGCTGAAGTTGTTAGACTGTTCCACATTTAAATAACCTTTGTCCCCCCAAAGCCATATTCACTTCTTCCAGAAAAAGTAAAATTTAATTCCTACAAACTATAGGTCCATTTAATTTTAATATACTTATCAGACTTGAAAGGCTGGGAAGCTTTTGGATATTAACTTATGAATTACGTTCAAAATGTCTTACCGAAAGGTTGCAAAGGAATAAAAATGCAGCAATGTTCTTCAGAATTCTCCTCTTGTTGTTAGTAACTGAATTTCTACTGTAAAATGAGAAATCTGAGGCCGAATGCATGACCGAAGTATTGTCCTGACTCATTTCTTCTTTGGCAACACCAGCACCATCGTTATCTCTCCCACAGATACTGCCCTTAAACAGACAGGGCACCTCCCCAGAGTCACAAGTGGCTCTGTCATTGTAAATCTCTTTGTACAAGGGGGTAAGAGACAAAGTGTTCCCCCGAGATATAGTCACTATTCGGAGAGTTTTAATGTCATCATTAACCTTTTCCTGCTCACGGTGTATGGATTCAATGATAAAGAGATTCTGAATATATTTCTCAATGATAACCAGAACAGAGTAGGGCAGGTTATACCAGGTGTATTTTGGATGAGCTTGGGCACAGATAATGGCGAGGATCGAGCCCCAGGAGAGCAGCCAGGAGCCTGCAGCTGTGCCCACCAGCAGTTCTGCATCAAGTTTTCGAGCGGGATTCTTTGAATTATCCAGCGATCTATCTTCCAGTCTATAGATGAGAAGGGCGACAATTCCAGCTGTACACATGAGAGCCAGCACAAAGATAGCATGCAAGTAAAACATAGTGAGTGCTAACTCACTTTTGATTTTTGAACCTCCAATCTGAATCAAATACACAACAACTATGGCTATTGTGCTAGTTAACACGATTAGTCCGAAAACCATTCCAACAGTTATGCCGTGGAATTTGAATGGAGTTTTGTTTTGCTGGTGGTGCTCAACTTTGCGGCCAATGTTCTTCCACAGGACATAGAGCATTGTGGATGCCAGGATGTGGTACTCTATATTAAAGGGATATAGGTAATATATTCCTTGAGAAAATATAGAGCAGAGAGTTGTTGTTGTGCAGTTGCATTGAGGTGCATGATCATCTAGAACTAAAGGAGAAGGAGAGATTAGTTATGTGCATTATAAAGATTTCTTGTTTAAAGTGAATAAATAAAACATAAATTTAATAATAAAACACAAAAGATAAGATCTCAGTCGAACAACACCCAGTTACCCACCTAAGAAAAGACCTCACCATTTAACTCATTAACCTAACAAACTTTTTGCTGCTTCACTAAAGTATGATCTCCAACTTCACTGCTCACTCACTGAGCAATAATCACATAGTGAACAAATATTGCACCAAAGTGTACAAAACTTCAGCAGGTTCTTGGTAAAATTACTTTTTTTATAACATGAAAATCCAGATGCCAAGGGCTTTGAGTCCTCAGCCCTTCAGCAGAGAAGATTTTATAGAAGTTCAGAGACTGTTGATCAGATCAAGAACAAGCTTAACAAGGAAAGGGCTCAGTTATACTCTCATTTTTATCAGTTATTTACACTAGTGTAGTGTTCAATAGCAAAACCACTTTATTAAAAAGTCACTTATGTTTAAGAAAGAGGTAAAATAAACCACAGATACTTTGACTCAATGTCCCGGAATAGTTTTAAAGTAAAAACCAAACCAAACAAAATAAAACCAAACAAACAAAACCACAAAACACCCACCACCAAAAATCAATCTTCTCCTTTTGAGAGGAACTTATGAAATCATTATATCTCTGCTGTGAGTTACTTGCAACGTAAACCGGTAAGGCATCTCAACGAACAACTGCTCATATTTGTAAAATAAATATATTTAATGTGCATATATAACCTAAGCAAATAATGTCAGAAATCAGAAATTTCTGCGGTGGTGGAAAAAAAAGACACCTATTTCCAATGTATTTATTTATAAATATATAACCACACATGCTTAAGAGCACATTTTCAGGTGTGGACTTTAGATCTGTGCCTGACAATTTTTCTTTTGTTTTCTCCAATTTCAAGACAGAAGAGAAGAGGAGAAAGTTGGTATTGTTTTGTCTCAAATACACACTGTTAAGAGATGGAAAAAATTGTTTTTGCAGTGGATTGTATATTAATGCCAATCTTGTCTTGTGGATCACTACTTCACTCCCCATTTTTCAGATGCTATTTCTGACTCTTCATGTTGTATAAAAATTCTTGCAGCAGAATAATGGGGAATAATATAAGGAAACTGCTTTTATTAACAAGTAAAGATATCAAGAAAAGCCATCAACTTCTGATTTGTCTGTTGTCTACTAATGCTCCATGATTACAAAATCTCTGGACTATCAATTCAGCTACTAGATAGTTTCCATGGATACATATAAAGGGTAATAATTGCCAACAGATGTAAATGGTGGTCATAATTTTAGACACAATTATAGTGAAATAATATTTTATAGATTTTAAAATTGTTTTCACTTATATGTGAACTTTGGTAGGAATTATTAAAAATGCCTAAAATTTTTCAATTTATAAAAATTATAAATAGGCCAAAAAGAAATTAGATCAGGATTTGGCTTTATAGAAGCAAAATCAGGAGTTTTTAGCATACAAGAACCATTGAATTCCTTGGGTAGAAAAACATACACTCTCGTTTTTAAAAACTGTCTGTCTTTTCCTTTGTGAACACAATCAAAATTTATCATCTGCACTGATAAATTTTCATGGGAAGAAAATTGCTTATAGCTGCTGAGAACTTTTATTTCCTCTTAAAGTTAAGCACTCCTAATTTCCCCATGCTTCAGTGGAGTTTGAAAGCAGAAAGTATCCCCAGAAGTTATCACAGAATCATAGAATGGCCTGGGTTGCAAGAGACCTTCAAGGTCATAAAGTTTCAACTTCTTACCATGGACAGAGACACCTTCCACTAGACCAGATTGCTCAGGGCTCCATCCAACCTGGCCTTTAACACTTCCAGGGATTGAGCATCCACAGTTTCTCTGAGCAATGTGTGCCAGTGCCTCACCAGATTCATAGTGAAGATTTTTTTCTTTATATCTTCCTTATACTAAATGTTTGCTGACTACAACTTGCACCGTCTTACCAATGGAGAAAAGGGATTCATTATAAAAAAAGAACACCCAGAGCAAAATCCTTGTCTTGTAAAGCAGCACTTATGGGTAACTCCTGTTCCTCTGAGCCACCCCACTGAACTCCATAGGACCACAGAGCACATGCAACCATTCTTCTGGGAAGGATTTACAGGGTTATCCATGCTTGTTTTTCTCTGAATAACTCAGTAAATAGTAAAGTCTCATTTTAAAGCTGCTGTGTTCAATTTACTTCTATGATTTACTAATAAAGGGGTTCTTCAGTGATGTTGTTTTCAAAAATCTGTATATTTGGAATTTGAAAGAAAACAACAGCCTTGATCACATATATGCTAATGATCATGTAACATTTTAGTTATGATCTGAACTGACTACATACTGACTACCATTTGCTCCAGAATGACTATGCTGACATAACCATAAATGACCCAGCTCCAACCTACAGTGACACAGTATTTTGTATGAGTGTGCTAGAGCAGAAATTCCAAAATGTACCAACCCTTTCACTTACCTATAGTTATGTTCCCAAAACCAAGCGTGATTAGTCTTTCCTTATGTTCATTCAATTGATGTTTGGACTCTGCTAAGACTCCGTTTGTCCACAGGAGCAAATTTGTGAACACAGAATGGATAACCCCAAACCTACAAAATAAAGTAATTATTGAAGGAATATGCACAAACTGTATTTCCATATAATTTAGATGTCTACTTTCTGTAGACAAGCTACATGGCACTATTTATTTGTTGGTGCAGGGGCAGAAAAACAATCACCAATCTCTAAAGATGTTCTGCAGTGGAGCACTCTGAACATTAGACCTCCAAAATTTTACAGAAACACAATGGCTTAACGTATTAATAGGATGCTGCTATTATTTGTTATACTCTCTCATTGGACTGAACAAGCTTCATGTTAATGGCAGTGATCGAACAGTCTGAACAGGATTAATTGTTTTGCAAACTATATTTCACAGCCTTCTGCTGTGCTCCTTCATATTCACTGTATCTGGTCTTTCTTTGCAGAGACCGCTGCCTTCTCTAACTTCTAGTTCATGCCTTTTTGTCTCCTGGAGAGAGCTGAAGCTAACAGAGGGCTTTATTCCATTCAAAGTACTGGTACAATGAGGGTAGGTCTCCATGCATTTTTGAGACTCCTGGTCTCTGACAGGAGACCATTTCAGACTTGGTGAAGCAGAATGGCATTGGGGAAAGAAGTGTTTTAATGGTTCTGAACTTCCTAATAAAATCCAGACAATAATTGTTTTCCATTGTCAAGCACTCCCTTTCTTTGTAGAAGATCATAGCATCTCTTTCTCAAGCACAATCCTTTCACCTACCATTCTGCCAGGCATTCTCCTGTACCTGAAGTTGTTCATGTTCCTTCCCCAAGAAACAATTCTTTCTTACTGCACTGTTCTCAGTGCTAAATTTGTAGTTATGGATTTTTAAAATCTACTTATAAACAGAGCTGATATCACCAGCTGACACTGCAAAGCCTTCTGTGATAAATTCTCCTCATAGCAGCCTTCCAGTACCTGAAAGAGGCTTATATGAAAGATGAGGACAGACTTTTTAGCAGGGACAAGGGGTTTTAAACTAAACCAGGGTAGATTCAGGTGAAACCCTGGAACAGGTTGCCCAGAGAGGTGGTAGATGCCCCATTCCTGGAAACATTCAAGGCCAGGTTGCACAGAGCTCTGAGAAACCTGATCTAGTTGAAGATGTCCCTGCTTCCTGCAGGGTGGTTGGACTAGATGACCTTTAAATGTTCCTTCCAACCCAACCTGTTCTATGTGTCTAAGATCTAGTTATAAAAAGGTGCTTTCCATAAAAATCAATATAAAATACCTCAGATACATTGCACTGACTGCAGGTTGCTGATGCAGATTCCCTTTCAGTAGCTAAATAAATAAAACATAATTTAGTGCATAGTCCTAAAACACATACCTGATCCTTCCTTCAAAAAAAGTAAATGACACTGTGGTATCATATATTGCCATTTCCCTCTCTCATGAGAAAAATACATCTATTCTGTGACTATTGTATATTAAAAAATATAAGTACAGTTTAAATAAAGGTAAATGGAGTTAGTTTCTATTTAACTATTCTATTTCTTTCTATGTAACACAGTCAAGAAGAGAATCAACCTCTGTATATTTTCACTGTCTCTAATACAGTAAAAATGTAGGTGTTAAAGCCCTGTACAGACCTACATCTATTAACATGCCAGATGAAGATCAGATACACTTTACCTTTCAAGTGTTTTGAAAGACTGGATAACATCCTTCGCATGACACCACAGAAAGTAAACCTAAATGAAAGGAATACAGAGAAATATTATTACACTAATGAGCATGTGTGACACTCAGAAAGGAAAGTGCATCTATAGACAGAAACATTGGTAATCAAAATCTCTGATGATTTAAACCGATGCAGCTCCATCTCCATGCATGTGAAAGAGCTCATGATTTCCTGTGACGTTCTCCCAGAACATCAAGTTTCTTGTGCACAAAATCAGTGACTTAACAGTAGAAAGTCTCAGCATTACTCACAAAAACATATTTTGCTTCTGTATATGGAGAGACTTTTATTTCAATGACAAAGAAAATAAAGCTACCAGCTGAGGATTGGAGTATGATTACCGTAGGGCGTGGTCATGCTAAGTTTGAATAATTTATTAAATATATTAAATTCTATGGAGGGACAGAGATAGGTGAAAGGATGACAGACTTGACTAATAAAACAGCAGACTCTCTGGAAGCAAGAGAAAAGCTTGTGCTATCAGCCTGAGAGGCAACCCCATTAAGAACACAGCAGTTGCACTCAATGATAGTGAAGAAAACTCAACTGGAGAATAAAAGAGAGAGATAAGAATAATGAGTTAGCAAGTCAAGGTAAAAGAGGTAAAATTAAGACTCACTGTTTGTGGGAACATAATGGAGACCTCAGAAAGAGATTGCTGCTGATACAAAACTGGTTCCAAGTCCTGACAGGTTCAAGGAGAACTATACCAATATACCTCAGGGATGTTAGGGTGAAACTGGGAGTCCTGTTTACTCTCAGTAGTTCCTAGGATACTGAACTCAACAGTAGGTGAACTATCAGGAGAGAAAGAGTCCAAAGATTTCTCTTAGAAACCTGCCTAGTTTAGTGTTTCAGTAATGGTCTGAAAAGTAAAAAGAATTTTAGGTTCTTCTTCAGCAATTGGAGTAACTGGAAGTCCATTTTACCACAGTTCCCATAAATGTAGGGTGCCTTCATAGCTGCTGTTGTCTAAAGCATTTAATGTCTAATTTTGGAAAAAGCTAGGCAAATGCAGTTCTCTATGGCTCACCTATGCTACCCAGCAATAACATTAATTCCTCTAATGAAGCATTTATAAATAAGAGGTGTGGCCACTGTAAAACCCCAGATGTACAGAGTACAAAATTTCATGCAGGTTTCATCTAAAATCAAATTGAAATTATCTTAGTCTCTAATGTCACACTCAAGTTCCCATTCTGGGATTGATGCAGTAAAATCTGACAGCAGATCTGAAAGTATTTTTCAAAACTTAAAAAAACCCCATAAGTTTTGAAGATCTGTTCAAACACAAGAAAGAGGGAGAGAATAGGAAAAGTCAGTAAAGAAATAGCATAAAATCCAATTTTTGTTCACAGAATACTCATTTCCTCAAAGGGATTCCTGCCTGCAAAAGAGGATAATGCACAGCCTGTCTTGGAAGGGCAGGTACATGTTAGTTCATACACAGGTGCAGTAAGTATATATTAATTTAATGGCATATATCAGGATGCCTCATTTAGAGTAAAATGCAACAGAATCTGACACATATTCTGGAGAAAACAAATCCTTTGGTTTTTAGATGATACATATTAGGGGTGTTCTCTGCTGTAATTTCATCCTCTGTTTCAAAGACATGACATATGCCTTAGGTAAGAGTTATCTGGTAAATTAGTTTTTAACTTTTTCTTTGATTGCTCAGGCTAACATTCAAGCTTTCATTATTTTAAGCTTTGTAGATGATAAATTCAGCAACACCGGGTGATGTAACATTTAAATTAGCACTCTTGTTCCCTTTGTTCATCACACACTGTTCTTCCACACTCCAGTCCATGGTGACTGGAAACCTTGTCAGCTCAGGGTCACTGGATGCAAGAAAGAATGCTGCATGCAGATCAGCAGGGCAAAAGGGCTTAATTTCATTGGTTTGTTTTTCAGAGGTAAAGCAAAGAGGTTGCAAGACCTGGAGAGTGCATGTTGCAAGACCTGGAGAGTGCATATTACAAGAATGTGAAATTAAGATTATTTCAACCAAATCAGAATCTCACCCCCAGAGAAAAACATTGTAGAGGTCAGAGCTACTACTTATATGTCTATGCTTTTTTTTTTTTGTTACAGAAAACAGGAAGGTGCAGGTTGTTCAAAAGCTCACTTACATGCAACCATAACTGCTAGAAAAATCTTTGTTTTCTTTCTGAATGACTAAATCATCTTGGAAAGTGCATACAAGTACCTGGCTATAACTAAGAATCTCAGTTGAGTGACTTTTTCTTTCCTTTTTTCCTAGAAACCTGCTGACAGGGACTCAGAGGAATTAATATGAGAAACAATCAGCTATGGAGTGTCACCACACACTCTGGAGCCAAAGCCTTACAACAAGCAAGCAGCTGGAATATTTTACAGGAGTCAGTGACTGCTTAGTACTGTGCAGCCACTGACAAGCATAACAAAATGCTTCTAGAAGGAATATTCATGTTCATTTGTTATAGGAAAGCTGTGCAAGCGTTTTTGAACCTGCTAGGAAGGGTTTTGTCCCTTTGACTTATCAGGCTCCACTCTTAACCACAATGGGACATGAGGATAGATAGACTGAATTGAACTTGTGTGACAAGTCCTACAAACAGAATCAAGGGAATTGTCTTTAGCTGAGCTACTAATTTCAGCCTGAAAATTGTGAAAATTACATATGTAACTCTGATTTAAAATAAAATGTAACTTCAACTATAGGAGAGCATTTTTTGATTATTCCATTTTTAAACCCATATGAATTTTATAGCTGAGCAATTCCAAGTTTGCAAAGCAAAGCTTGAATTTACACTTACTTAATACATGCACAAGCATTTAGTCCTCAAAAGTATTCTGTGTTATGCTTAGAAATTAAATTAGTGTAAAATCCACTGATAACAAAATAAAACATATTTTTGGGAAGGAATGGAGTTGTAATATAAAATTGCAACCAGTGACTTTTACCTGTAAGATGGTGTGCACAGCATGTGTAACAGGAAAAATGCCTTCAGTTGGTGATAAACAGTTTGAAAAATCAATATAATATCCAATTTTAAAAGAGTCCAGAATTAAAGTAATCACTGCAAATAAAGTAATCCCACCTACAAATGAAAAAGATAGAAGAAAATGTGAATGTATAATTATAGTGTCTAGAGGCAATTTGTACAATACACTAAAAGCTGTTTAGGGAAATAAAAGTCAATCAATATTTGTGTTCTTGTTTAGTAGAATAAAAATAGATCAATGTTCATGAAGTTAATTGACTCAGTGTAATAAGTGTCTTTAATTTGTGAAAGCCTCTGCCCAATGTATTCTGAAAGCACATCACAGTACACACCCTGCATGGCCAGTGTAGCACTGGCCAGGACCTGGAGACACTCAGCCCCTTTCAGGTGACTTCCAGCTCCGAGCAGGGTCAGCCTCTCAAGTGCAGCTGCCATACAGGGCATGAATTAGTGCTCTAGACAGCCACACAGTAAACTGTACAGTTCTGGGGAGCTGAACAATCACCTTACAGTCTCCAAGCCCAAAAGCTCGACAGTAGGAAGTAACACAATCACTTGGTGTGCCCTCCCCATGGCTCGGAGGGTTACACTTAAACTCACAGACCACAACTACAATGAGTTGTATGGTTTGTTCTCCTAGGAAGGAACTAAAGATTTAATTTCAGTATCTATATTTCACACTCACAAAAATGCCCTAATATATTTCTCTAAATATGTATTTTGTATCCTAAAGACCTTTAAAATACATTTCCCATTGTTTAATTATTACAGGTTTGTACCTGTATGACTAAGCACAACTGGCAATAAGATTACTGAACCAAACTAAAGCCTTCATTTACTTGGTTTTCGTTTGTTTTCAGGAGGGGGGGGCAGGGGGGTTGTGGTTTTTTTTCTTTAGGTTTTTACTCAAACAAGCTTTCACCGGATTTAATTTGGGCTTATTTTAATGAAGACGAGACAAAAATTTACCATGGACCTTAACTGGACCTTGTGATGTATATCTCCATCAGTATCTTAATCTTTCTTTGTAATGTAAATAACATCACTAGTGTTGACTTTGATGAATATTTATCTTTTATAAAGGACCACAACCTAATTTCCATATAAGCACAACATGTTCCACTTGACTTCTGATAATAAAAAAGTATTACTAAATTATTTATTTAATTAATTAATAATATCTTTGTTATTGTTGCGGCAGTCAAAAGTAAAGAAGAAAAACACAAACAGTCCAGTACCGAGCAAAGTACCAGAGTCTTTATTCTTTCCCACAAGTCATTTTATATCCCATGTTAGCAAGCATCAGAAGGCAGGCAGGCGCTTGTATTTTTTAATTAGCTATTATTTGTTAGTAATACTGTTGGCAAAGCTCAAGGCCAAAGCTGGAGTTCTCACAGGACCAAACCTAAGCACTCCACAGCTGTCTTCTTTCAGCCAGGGCTGCCTACATACCTCTCCTATCTCAAGGATACACCCGTAACTTTCCCAGGTCAAAATCTTCTTCCAAAGAGCTAACAGACCTGCTGTCAGCCCTGACATATCTTTATTCTTAAAATTGCATTGATAAAATTAAGTAGAAATTATAAAAGCACAGTGTAATTTTATTATTTCATTGATCCTTTAAAATTAAACAAAAATAGACTTCCAAAACCTTTTTAATTGCACTGGTGTGAATTTCAAGAGGATTTTGTGTTTCTGTTCTACAATCTCTCTATAAAAAATAAAAGCCAAATTACTGATTGAGTGTAATTTCTACCAAGAGATAAAAACTTTTGCTTTAATATTGCAAAATCTAGAACCTCAGCTCTGCACTTCATGCATGTGTACAATCCCATGTAGTTTCCTAATTTATGTTTCTTACATCAGCTAAATTGTATTCTAACACATGTGACAGGAATGAAGACCACGTGCCATTATCATTATGTATGAAAGTACATGACATCACAATACACAAAATTCTATGCTACTCTTAAGATCAAATGATACATTTTCTTCCTTATCAAAAAAATGTAAATAATTCTAAAATAAATTAGAATGGCTAATTCTTCTGAAATAACTCTACCTGAGGTAACTGGACATGCACTGAGCAAGGTGTTCAGACTAGATGACTTTCAGAAGTCCTTTCCTACCTAAATTATTCTATGATTGATGTTGTGATTCATAGTTTATTTTAAAAGTATGCAGGAAACAGCCTATTTGTCTGGAACATGACAATTAGAGGGACTTCACGTGTGTTATGATTGTTTCAATAAGAAGGCAAATGCTATCTTCCGAAGCAAAAGATTATCAATAACTCTACAGTGAATTGCTGTGCACATGTTGACTTTACAGAGTACTTTAGAAAGATTTTTAAGTCCCCAATCATGACAGGAGTAAAGTAATTTCCCAATGAATTTATGATGCACGTTTAAGCCCTAAGGATCTGTTTCAGTGAAGTAGTAATGTCAGACCAAAGTGGGTGGAAAATGTGTTTTGTAAGAAAAAATTCTGCATCCTTGCTTCCATTATTCATGAGAGTGGCTCAGCAGAATAGAACCACAAGGGACCTGTTAACTAGAAAAAATGTGAAGAGGGAAGGGAAGGGAAGGCAAGGCAAGGCAAGGCAAGGCAGGGGAAGGCAAGGCAAGAGGCTCAGGTTTAAATTCGCAAAAGCGAAAAGGAAACACATTTTAGATTAATGATCTGTCTCCTGCACCATACATGCACCTTGTTTTTACAAAGATGACTTGTACTGTAGTTCCACTCTATCTTGCTTCCATTTCACAAGGTCTATATTTCAGCTGTACAGTCTTAATAGCTTTAACTCACTGTCCAGCAGATCACTGAGAGGGAAACAACAACAACAATAAAACACACGAAGTTTCTTTCACATTGAGTATTTTGGTTTATGCCTTCAAATCACTCTTCATGTTTCTTTTATATCCGTCAGAGATTTGGTAGGCTTCAACCTGTTTCCACTGAAATCAAGTTTTGCCATCGTCCTCTAGGGACTAGAAGACTTTATATGACTCTTTTAATGTTAGATTATTTCATTTATTCAAATGGTATCTAGATAATTCTTGCAAACACTCAGGTGGCCACACTGCAAGTGTATACAAAGTGTCCAACATGCTTATTTATGGGCTTCAAAAGAGAATGATTGTACTAGTTTGCTTAGTCAAAAATCAAAGCACAACAGTCGTGACCATACATGTGGTTTGATAATGGTTTCTGTGTTAATTTTTCCTGATGGAAACTTCAGTATTATGTACTAATGCTAAATGAATATCAGTAATTGCAAGGAAGATAATTCCACTGTTTTGCTATTTCCATCTGAAAGTTTAAGAAACGTGAAATGATTGCTATTGAGCACTGCTTCTTTAATTTTTTTTAAAATACTCATTGAAATACTCATCTTAAGGGACCACTAATAGGATTTTCAATATTGCTAAATGCTGGTTTGTTTCTTTCTATCAACCATCAAGAAGAACAAAAGCCATAATGATACAGTTGCAAAAATACCACTCTCAATTTAAAATACTGTTCCAATAATTGGCAATTCAATGCAAGCAGCAAAAATATATAAATTGAAGTCTGCCGGGAGCTTTGCAAGTTGACCAATTGTCAAAGCTGTAAACAGAAGCTGTGCTGCTGGAGAATGTAATAAAACAAAGCCATTTGTGAAGCAAATTTATTTTAATTTTGAGTTCCCTGGCTCACTTGGCTGAACTTCCAAAAAAATGGTCAGAGAGCTTTTCCTAATAGGAAAGTGTACTTAGGGGAATAACATTTGTAATAAGTCAAGGAAAGGGCTTCTTAAGACTCCCTGTGATTATTTGGGTCAGGATAACTGTGTCGTATTAAAGACAAAGCTCTCCTGGAAACTTTTCCCACATTCAGACTATAGGAGTGATTCTTGGTGACCATGCAAGTAGGAAGACAACCATGCTCTGGGGTTCACACAATTGATACCTTGTGCAAAAAGGCTCAAGGAAACCTTCCTGCGAGCAATTCTTGTAATCTGACCAACTGTCCTTCTACCATTGCTGAATATGTACAAGGACTCAGTTATAGGAGGTTTTTGTTAAATTGTTCTTTTTCAACAGTTGTCATAGCAAAATGCTCTAAGTAGGCAGCTACCACCACTTTTACTAAAATGATATTCACAATTTGAAAGGATGCATGAAAGTATACTCATTTTATACTGTTTAATACAAGGACATTTGCTCTCAAAAGGACAGCAAGGAGATATTCTTCAAAAGCAGCTGATAAAGCTAGTAAAAAATTGCAGAAAGCTTTCCATGGAAAGACTTGATGAAAATGTCTCTGTCCCCTCCATCCCCCCCTTTTCTTTTTGGACTTTTAGTCTTTCAGTTACAAGATTTCTATGACAAAACCATTGATAAAGAGGAGGGCAAGGGGGATCTTGGCAAAAGAATTGTCACCTGAGTTTTTTCTTAGCTCAAATAAATTTTCTTTTCCCAACAGAGGATAAAGGAGTTGTACAGACTTCTTGTAAATACAAGAAACTCCTAAGAATAGGAAAGTGTAGGTCATTCCCTAAGGGCAAATTTGATGAATTGCAGTCTAGACATCCAAGAGAAGTCATGGAAGCCGCACCACTTGAGAAGCCAGTACAAAGAGCCATCCTGTGCTGGTAAAAGAAATGGGTAAGGTAACCTAGTAGTTCAATCCAGGATCTTATTTCTAAGTTTCTGTGACTCCTTATAACCTGTAGGACAAATAAAATGCTGTGAATGCAGTGCCAAAAGAAAAAGGGCAGGGGATCCTGCTGTACTTACCCATGTTAAGCAGTAGTTATTCCATACTTAGGAGGGGAAAGCTACCCTCTGAGTAACAAAAGCATAGCTTGGTCCAAGTTAAGATCAAGTTAAGACTTGCATTAATGAATTTCAGAACGTTGTAAGCCACATAAGCTAATAAATGAAAAATGCCCGAGAGATGAATATGGCCTTGAAAAACAGTAAATAAACAAGAGGAACAATTCAACAGCTGGTATGTGAACTCCATACATTTCAAGAAAGAGTCTACAGACCATGGCTGTATGCTAGACATTGAAAAAAAATAGATTTTCTGTGAGCAATTCATACACAATTTTTAGCAGTTGCAAAGAAAATAAAAGACACACAAGCACTGACATTGAGAACAAACTACATTTCCACAGTACAATCTCACTTTCCAAAATAATCAGGTGTTAGATGTTCTTGGAATTTTAATTTAGGTATTTTATTAGTTGCTGTGATAATTAACTGTTGTCTCATTGCTAGCAGGTAGGAAATATTTTATGGGAAAGCTGTCTTACAGCATTCCACTTAAAATACTTACTTTCCAATCTATCGCTTACAGTGTTGAGACTGGGAAAGAAGAGGAGGCTGGTAAAACTGGGCTTGCCTGTTACTCCACACAAAACTGATGCAGGTTGTTTCTTTTTCTTGGTACCCAGAAACAGCATTCCTGTCACTACAACTCTATAATGTGCTCCCCAAATACCTTCTCTCAAGATACCTTTATATCCTCACTCCAGTACACACCTGACTCTGCAGATAAGGGCCATCACATCCCACCACTACCGTTGCAAACTTGTATACTTTTCCTACAAGCTAATGCTAGTTTTAGATTCCTTGCTTAACTGCTTTATGTACTGATCTACAAACTGATCTGGTCAGGGATTTTGTCCTTTTCTGTCTAAGTCCAGATGTTTCTAAAGCGTCACTGTACACATATGAATGGGAATCTCTGATATACATTGTCATAGAGAGCACTTGAAGACCCTTCTGACTGGTACTACCCTAAAGTAAGTTGCATTATATCATCTCAAAAAGGTGGTAATTCCTCCAAAAGAGCTGCAAGACACCAAAAAATTGCCTCTTCCAGTATTTAATTTTTCAAGAGTTGCCAAACCAGCCTGCTAAGGGAAAAAAGGCACCAGAGCTTTCAGCACTGTAAACGGTAGGTTGGAAAGTGAGGATGTTTAGCAAACAGCTTTCCCATACAATCTCCGAGTATGTTCAGCTTATGCATATATTTACTTTAGAGTGCACTGCATGTGCGCTCAGTTCATGAATAGCAGGATGCCTCCTCGTAGGGATGGAGAGGGTAACAAAGAGGTAGCAGACACAGGTGATGGCACAGATGTCTCTTGTGCCGCTGGCCGGTACTTACACTTCAGCCAGCGGGCTCCGGCGTGAGTGTCCTTGTCCTGGATCAGCCTCCTCTGCGTGCAGCTCCTGCAAAGGTACCACAGCATCCACAGCAGCTGGATGAGCATCAGCGTGATGAGGTAGGAGAGCAGGTGGCTCTTGCTGATGCCCACGGCGTGCACAGCCCAGGCGAAGGTGAGCAGCAGCCCGGCCAGGAAGAGGTTGATGCCGTACTGGCTGCTGAGGATCTCGGCGTTTTTCTGCGGGTAGCTGCCGCCCACCGCGGGGGAACCGGCGGCTTTCTCCATCTCCCACGCCGCTGGCCAGGTGCTGCAAGCAGGCGGCCGCGCTTCCCCCGGGAGCCCCGAGGCTGGCCCGTCCCCCATCCCGGTCGGGGGCGGAGCGGGGCCGCGGCCCTGGCCGTGCCTGCCCGCGGGCGGGGGCCGCCGGGGGTCCCTTGCCGGGGGCGAGCCCCGGGACCCCGATGGGAAGGGAGGCCGCCGGGCGGGGGGGGAAAGGATGCTGAGGCGTTTGCGGGACAGCGTTGCCTGAGACTCAGACAACAGCTGGGGTCGAGACCAGGGTAAGGGAGAAGGTTAGTCCAGAGGCGGGCGGTCATATCCCTCGTGAAGGGGCAGGTGAGCCCTGCCCGGCTGGCTTTGGTGAGGGATATGGAGCTTCCATCCATGTTGACAGAGACCTGTGCAGTGTAACACGTTCCCTAGACAGGGAGATGGGAAAGACAGCGAGCGTTGTACAAAACTCCCTGACCATTTGCAGCTGTGATTGGAAAGCCAAGGAACAGCCAACGTGTGGAAGGAAGATGCTGTGAGAAAGCAAGGACAGGTGGATGGAACCTGCTCTGCAGCCAACAGCTGGTGATGGAGTTCCTTTGCATGGAGGTGGCAACAGGATCACCCACCATGCTTCACACTCTGGGCCTCACAGGTCACCTACTTTTGGGCAACCAGTACTTCCATCGGTAGTACAGAATCTCCATTTTCAGGAATTGTCTAGACCTTTCAAAAGCAGCAATTTGCCTTATTTTTTTAGGAAGTCTATTCTGACAACACAGTATTATAGTGATTGCTAGCTGGAGAAGCAACTACTGAGCACAAAGTAGCAAAAACTTCTGCAGAATTTAGTCCACTTCTTATTTATTCATTTTCCCAATATTTATACACATTTTAAGTATTAACCCTTTTCTACTTAAACTGCCTAGTTCTAACTGTGACCCGTGGTCAAAAGCTATTTAGGTATGCAAACCTCAAGATTTGGAGCACCAGTTGGTTGCCTGTAGGGGTTGTGAGGAATTTAGCCCAGGGTAAACCATTATTTTTTTTAAATGGTATTTTGTCTGCATACAATATGAATTCTCATAACTCTAGGTTTTTGGGTACTGAGACATTGCTTGGAGGCCAAATACCAAGATAGACTGGTCCTTGTTCTGGCCAGGCAGGTCTTATGTATTTACTCTGTATCTGTTGGTAGCATACTGATTACCCAAAGTATTGGTTTTTACAGAGAGTGATCCACATCTCACATGAAATCAAGCCACTAATTCAGTTACATCAAAAAAAAAATTGGATATATTGAAAATACAGCATTTATTTTCTCCACTTCCTCAGCCAAAACTTAGAGGGGTTCTAAGCTTTTTCTCTTTTGAAGCCAGAAATTATTAAAGAGGGTTTTTTTCTTAAATAACAAAGGACATTTTGAACTTACATGTAAATGTCTGGGATTCTCATTCCTCTTAAAGAATAGGGAAGAAAAACAAAATGGCAGAAGGGTGGAATGAGTGAATTCTGGACAATCACCTTATGTTTAGGTAAACATAAGGAAGTAGTAGCTCATGTCCTTTATTCATTTTGGCCTGTTCTCAAGAAACAAGTATTTTAAGCCACCTGCAAATTTTCCCTTTGAAGAATGCACTTAACTGGAAGCCCTATGTTTCTGTCAGGTCTGTAACAGCAATATAAAAAAAAGCATAAATAATCAAACAGTTCAGGCTTCAACAACTTCTAGCTCATAGCTACATCCATCATTCTCATAAGCTCATGGAAATGCCAAATCCTACTTTTACCTTATGCCATGTAACCTTTAAAGGATAATTAAGAAAGATGCTTCCATTTTAAAGAGCTTTTGGGGGTAACTGTGAAAAATAATCTTCACTGTGTGGACTATTTTACTTCAAGATTATCCAAGACAATCTCTTGTCACCTGTAAATAAAAGCTTTTTGGTGCTGATACACATTCTCATACTTAAATGAAATTAATGTAAATGGATACAGAAGATACCTATGGTGGTCTGTAGCAAGATGGTACATTCAAGCTTTGGTAGGGGTGGGGGTTTTGATTGCCTCATAGTTTTTTTTCGCGGAACTATTAAGACTTTGCAGGACTTTTGTACAATGAAATATCTATCCAGGATTCGCAGAAAAAGACATCAAAGTAGTCAGAATGCAAACAGCTCTCCGAAGATGAACAGAATGATATTACACCTTCAATAAACACAGTGAGGGGTCATGAAAGACAAAGATACTCCAAGTCAAGTACAGTATTTAAAATCTACATGAACATCCATTTTATAGGAAAAATGATGGGATGCACTCTAAGTCTCCAAGAAAGTGGAATTAGACAGTTAAACAATTAAGTACTGAACAATAACTGATCACTTTTGTACAAAGTTTATTAAGATGTCCAGAAGAATAAATTTGAAAAACCATGTAGCAAATAGTAATTTTAATTCAAGATTACAAGGCAACTTAAAACACCTAGAGCATTTATATAGTTGACAAATAAAATACAGTGATAATTACCATCCCTGAGCAACACTGCATTTTAAATATCATAATAAACAAAGTTACTCAAATGTACCTATGTATGCAGACATAAAATAGTTAAAATTAATTAAAAGATGGACACCTGAAGATAAGCAATTTGCTCTTTAAGGATCTGAAGCACAACTGGTTTTGGCAAACCTAAATATTACATTTCAGCAAATCAAGCTGTTAACTTACTCTACAAACTACTAAAAGTAGTGCTGGATGTATTTTATTTTGGTTTGACTGATCTTTTGTATCACATACCAATAGCAACTTTTTTCCTTAATGGAACAGTAACAGCAAAGACAATGTCTCTTTTCATGTAAACTAAACATTTCACATATTTTGTATTCAGCAATGCTGTCAATTTGAAAGACAGAATGAAGAACACAGGACACTATCCTCTGACAGTCCGGGCTTCAAGCAACAGTCACAAGGCGTAAATTTTAACAAGTTTCCATACCCAGCTTCTACATTCTCCAATTTTCCAAAAGCTGTGGCTGGGAAAGTATTTAACATAAGGATCTACATAGAGTGGTCTAGCAACTGGATGGTGCCCAGGTCTCCAGATAGCCAAGTATCTCAGTCAACACGAACAGTCACCTAATAAAAATAAAATGCTATTTTATTTTCCCAACTGAGTATGACCAATAGCTTTTAAGTTAATATCAGCCTCTTCTTTTCTGAGGAAGGAAAATGGCAACTTCATTAACAGGCACTGCTAAGAATCAAAAGTTAATTTACAGAAATAAAAACTGAATACTGAAAAATAGTGCATACATCAAAAGAATTTAATTTGTTCTCTGAATTTCTTGTGTACTCTTAATAGTGTTCATTATATTGCTGGTTATTCACAGCTTGATCATCCACCTTTGGCTGTGGACAAACTGTATCAGCACAAGTAGAATTTATTTATTTAATTGATGGCCCTGCCAAATGTCAACCAGCTTTCTAGGCCCCTATCCATACTTTTTTCCAAACACTAGCAGATCTGAATTCAAGAGATTATGTAATATTTCCTACATGGTAACAAATATAACATTAGAAATGTAATAGATCAAGAAATGCCTCCTATAAGTAAGTTTATAAGTACAAACACAGGTTCCAGATAACAGTATTTTAGCTGTCAATTCAAATGGAAAGAATATAGTATTAAAACTCCATTACACTTCAATTAAACATCAATTACTTCCAAGTCAAACAACATGATTTGAGCAGGAAGTTGACTAGGTGACATCTGAGGTCCCCAGAGATAATTAAGGTTCCTTTCAACACCAACTATTCTATGTTTCTATGACTTATTACCCATGTGCTTAATATTAAAACATAAACAGAAGCTTTACAAAGCAGCAATGAAATGCTTTATGTTACCAAGAGATGTAAAACCTATCTATCTTTCAATTATTCACTATTCAGTTTCTTTTTCCTACAGTTATGTCCATAGATTTATAAATCAGGTAGATTAAGAATTACTGTATCAGTTAGAGCAAAAAGGCAGCATTAGAAATAATAAAAGTACTGGAATGTAACAAAAGTGACATCCACTTTGCAGGATAACAGTTACTTGAGTCCTTCACATGAAGCTGAAAGAAAAAACAAACACAATTTAACAAAAATGTTGGAAGACTGTATATATACTGCACAAGCTGTATCTTCTACTAACTCTATAAGTTAATGATTTTGCAACACCGAGTAATAACTTAGCCCTAATTATTAGGCAAAGAATTCTTTGGCCTAATATAGAACTTCCCCACATCCTTCCAGTGCTCAGACAGAACATAGCTAATGACAGAACTAACAAACATGATTTGAATAAGTTTGAGTCAATAAGTGTGACTGAAGCTCTCACAGTAAAGAGATTCTGAATTAAGTATTGTATTTTTCAGAAGTACATAGGTGTTGTCAGAATATAGCCCAAGTTAATTTCCTCCTGAAAAAATCAGGTTTCTTGGTATCTAGAAAATAGGAAGAAAAATGCAACACTAGTTTCAGTTTGTTTATGTAAAAAAAAAAAAATAAAATCTGCATTTCACTGTCCAAGCCATTAAAACATGTTTTGCCTATAACTCTGGCACTACAGTGATGTAAATCCAGCACTGTCATATTCTTCTTACTGCATTCATAAAACTGCTGAGGGACTTCCTCACCAAAAAGGATTTGTGATGGCAAGCAAAGCCAAACAGTACCCTCACATTCTCTTAAGAACAACAAAGAAGAGTAACTTCCCTGGATGACGTAGACACCTGTGACATCCCTGACCCTATCTACTGAGCTCTCTTTGATGTCTTCCTTAGCTTTTTCCATTTCACAGGATTCATTTGATAAATATATCCTAACAAAAGATGTGGGAACCCATTTTCAATGTAGCAGTTATTGAAAATGAATTTTTCAAGTCAACAAAACAGACGGTTTTGCCTTTGAAAAGTTTTTTTTAAGAATAACAAGGAACTTCTCGTATCTGGCAGTTTTCCAGATAAGCAGGT